TATATATATATATATATATTGATTAAAGTCAATCATAGTGGATTTTTACAAATCCATCAGAATGATCAATTACAAAATTGCACCAAATTACATGCAAATAATATGGCATATGATTGTCTTGACTGTGAGATTGGTTTGAACCTTACATCATAAATCTATTTATATTTATATTTTTTGTTGGCATTATATAAAATCACCTCATGAAGCTTTTCAAACGTCCCTTAAAATAAAATACGAAGTAAAAAAACACACACAATGTTACCAACTCACCAACAGGACTGCAAACGAACCGGAAGCCCCAAAAACCAAACGGACGTTTCCGCAGAGGAAACCCTAACCCTAAGCAACTGATCTTCAACATCTCTCTTGTCAATTGGTTTTATTTCACCGGCTTTGAATTAATCTCCGATGGAGCCCGTGGCCTTCGTCGTAGGTCGATTTAAAGAGTTTGGCCGATCAACGGAGAGGTTCGTGGATGGAGTTTTGCAGAAATGCCGCAAGCGTGCAAGCCATAGGCCGGTAAATTTCTCCATTCCATGCTTGTATTACCTGCATAGCGAAAATTTTTATACTAGAGGTCATTATATTGGAGCTATCGATGTTATATGGGTTTGAATGTTGCTGGAAACTTTTGGACATGATTTATAACTATCAATGAGGGCATATTTTTTTTTAATAGCTTACGTGTTGAATTTTGTGGCCTACTATCCACAACATGTCGCAGCTTAGTTATTTATTTATTATTTTCTAAATTTCTTACCCGACACTGGAAATCCCAAGGATTCTGTCACAGTAAATCTGAAGGGAAAACCCACAGTTGAACCGATCATAAAGCTCTTCAAATAGAAAGGGAAATTTTCGTAGGTTGTGTGGCAGAGTCTTAAATTGAGAATTTTCAGCAAAATTATTAACTTAAACAGGTGAAGTGCCGTAATTGAGAAACGTGACAAAGCAGATCATAATCAATCTATTTTGCACTAAAGGAAATTGATTGTTGTTTTTAGTAAACCCTAAATGATTGTGCTCCTTTTTCCCAATAATGATAAGAGGCCACTTATCCATGTCAAGAACTATTATGGAGCACTTATTGTCTCCCTGTCAAAAGTTTCTCAGATACAATGCTTTGCCACCAAGTCATAGATAAAAAAAAAATTTTAAAAAAATGTTTTTTTTAGTAGTTGGATGAATGCTATATATTATGCTCGTGCAATGAGTGTTAGGATAGTGATAGAATACCGAGCAAAATTAAATGAAGATAAATAACAAATATACTGAAGTTAACAAATGTAAAACATACATATTTACATGGTTGGGTGAGATTTGCCTATGTCTATAGCAGCACAGAGATCAAATATTTTATAAGCTTTGAAGGAGATATATGGAGAGAGCTTACTATTTATATTAATAAAGATAAAGATACCGTTTTATTTTTACATTATGCTTCCGTATTATGAGCATCTACCATGCATGCATGTTGTATACTCCCACCTGTTTTAGCCTGAAGTATTTTTCTCCTTCATTTTGCTGCCCCACTTACCTATCGTGATCACTTCTTTTGTCGATGACCTCATTGCTCTCATTCATTATTAGTCTTGTATTTCCACTTCTTCATCTGTTTCTTAAGAAGAAACACAATGGGCTTCCTTTTTAAAAATTTTAAGGTTTGTTAAGAAATCTCGAGGAGAAAGATTAGTTTATCAAAAACACAACCATTTAAGAATTGGAGCTTACTCTAATGCTGATTATGTTGGATCCATTAGAGATTGAATGTTTACTTTAGGATGTTGTGCTTTTGTTGGTGAAACTTTTTGGATGGAGAAACAAAACAAATAACTGTTGCTAGGGCTCCGTTTGGAAAGCGTGAGCATTCATAAAAATCCTTTTAAAAGACGCGTGAGGGAAAGTGTCATAAAAAGTTCCGTCAGCTGCACCAAATAGTACTGTTTGAAAAAAAAAATGATCTTGCATTTTTCTTAAAAGGTCCGTAAGAACCTAATTTTTTTCGGTGGCAATGACTTCAACGCCGAACGGTGCCATGAAACTTTTGGCAGTTCTTGAATTTTAAATTTGTGAAATATTAGCGTCGTGGTGGAAGAAATGGCCGACGAGTCTTGCATCCAAATGAAAGGAACCTGTTTTCTCAGCTTTCACCATGCTGTGACGGAGCGAAAAAGTTCTCTCAACGTAGCGTAAATCTCATATTGGAGCTAAATATAGGGCTATGATACTCTATGCCTTTGAAATGATGCAAATTAAAAATGTCTTTGAAGAACTTGGCTTTCCTGTTAGACAACCCATAATTCTAAAGTGTAACAATCTAGCAACAATCCGCCTTTTTAACAACCCTATTTATCGCGAGAGAGCAAAATATATTAAAGTTGATTGTCATCTCATCCAAGTTGTTACTCTTTGTGTCTCTAACGAATACCAATTGACATAGATTTCTACAAATGCTATGGGTTCACTTTGTTTCTTCAATTTTTGCATCAAGTTTGATATTCATGAAACAGATGGCTCTAGCTTGAGAGGGTGTGATATCATTGGAGATTTTATGATATTAAAAGTTAGTAATTATCATATATTTTATTTTTTTAGGTTAGTATAATCTTTTCTTGATGATAATCTCATTGTAATTTCTTTCTCATTCCACCTCCTGTATTTACTATATCCGGCCAGTACCTCTATAGTGAAATACATCTGAACATTTATGATTTTTCCTATGTTGGCCTTTTTTTGCATTGAACTTATGCTTACTAGTAAAGAATGCATGTAACGGTAATGCAATAGTAAAACTCGTGAATGCAAAAAAAAAAGAAAAAAAAAAGAAAAAAGTGCAAGCCAAAGGCTAACTCAACTATTTAACTAATATTACATCCATCCCCTAAATTCCTACTTTGGAATTTCCCCACTAGTGTTTCCCTTTTCCCCTCTGAAGCACAGACCAATTATATTCCCTTTTTCTAGGCACAGGGATTAAAGCAGCAATTTTCTTTAACGGAACAATAGATTCCTCATATAACTTCGCGCACGAAGCAAAACCTATACTTTGCTTGAAGATGAGGTTAAACCTCTTTCAACAAAGTTTGCGGAGATAATGCTAATCCAATTATTAATAAGATACAATTCAGGTAGATTAGCAATATACAATACAATGAGGATCATTACATATCCTAAATTTTCAGCATTAAGAACTTCTTTTGAGAACAATATATAAAATCTCATTCATGTTAAACTAAAAAGTTGGACAATGCACAATTATTACTTTGCTCCGAATTGTGAGTCCTTGGCACCGAACATTATTTGCTTGAAGTTATGAAAAATTAGCCACAAGGAACTTGTAGGCTTTCCTAAGTTTGTGAACTTCGATTTTCTTGTAAAACTATATCCAATGGAAGGAAAATAATCTTTCTTTCCCCCCTAAAGTGGCGAGCTCCGTCTTCAATACTATTTTTCCTGAAGACATGAAAGTTGGCCACGAGGTGTATAAGGCTTACTTGAGAAGTTGAGATTAAATCAAAGAAACAAATTTAGAATAAAAATAAAACTCATTAAATGATCAAAATCATCCAAATTGATGAGATTTTGAATCTGAAGAGCACTTTCTTGATGATATGCAAATGAAGTTCAACAAATGTCGCAGAATTAGAAGGAAATCGAGAGTTTCTGCCCGAATAATCTCAAGATTATTTTTCCAAGCCTTATTAGCAATGCCTAGCGTTTAAGTGTTATTTACAGAGAAATGAGAGATGCTTTGCTGGCCAGAGTGAATGGAATAATTGGAGTTGATTTGAAAATATGAAATAATATCCAGATGCATGTAGGAGGTTGTCTGTTAAGATTTCATCATTTTCTTTCCTTAAAAATGAAGCTTAGAGTTCTAGACTGCCTAGCTAGCCTACTTATTTGGGCTCAAATTTGCAGGTTTGAGCTAACTTGAGCTCTTCGATTAAGATGAAGTTGGCCGGAACAAGGAATGACTTCAGTGTAATTCTAAAATAATAGAAAACAAATCTTAAAGTAGTATTAAACTCATTTTAATTCTGAAGTAAAATAATATTTGAGAATGGTAACATTTAAGCAAATATACCTTAACTATTGATTTCATTTTTAGGATCCTTGGGCGTCCATTTAATTTTTATCATGACATGCATTATATATTCTTCGACAAGCAACCGTTTTTATCATACAACCTTCTTCATTACATTTTCTAAAATCATTTTTTAAACTCTTATGTATTTATTATTTTATAAAATGAGCAAAACTATTAATTTATATTTCTTATATATTCCAAATCGTATGATAATTAAATTGTATTATAAATAAATATATATTTAGCAATTGAATTTAAATGAATTCATACGTCTTAAACAAACTGAGTTAAAATTTTTTTAAGAATTTTTATTTTATAATATTTTATGAAATAATTATAGTGTTAATAATGAAATGATTGTGTCTATTTCAAGTAATTTTTTTTAATATTTTTTTGTCAGCATATATTTATTAGTATTATATTAAAACTATTTAAAAAAATTTAACCGTCAATATTGGTCCCAAATACCAATGAATTAGGTTGAAGGTATTTTTGAAATCATTAGTTTGTGCCCCTACTGAAAAATTCCCTGCTTCCACTCTTGTTCTTGACATACACCTTCATATGTTAGGCAGAGCAATACACATGAAATGTTTGTACTCATCAACATAAACTTCTTTCAACACCTTCATTACTTTACAGTGATTTTATGGCTACACAAAGTTCTTGTAATTCTTAGGTTCAAATGTACATGTTCATCAGATTGAAATTCTTAAACGCCTGCAAAGAGAAGCATTTTCTGACCTGATGAAGCTGAGGGAAAGACAAGATAAAGTAGAACGCATACTTTCCTTCAATCAGTCCGGCAAAGGGGGTCCATTCCAAGAAGCTCGTACCCATATGAAAGGAGTTATTAACGTAGATGAAGCTTTGATGTTCACCGAGAACGATTATGAACGGGGTTCTGCCAACCTTGATAGAGCAGGAACAAGAAGAGGCATCGATCTGAGGTTTATTTTTGAGACGTCTATCAGGCAACGAGATCTTCTTATCGCAGAGTTTTTGGCTACTCACTGCAGCCTGCTTAATCATAGCTATATGAATCAGAGCCCTCTGGTTTTATCAAAGTTGGTTTATTTTGCCAACATTTGTGACTCTCTATCTGCTGTGTTTACTCCTTTTCGAGCTCAGTGCACTGAATTTGGAACAACAAGCTTTCAACAGGTAACTTCTCTCTGGTTCTTTTCGCTAACGTTGTGTTATTTTTAATTATTTCATTAAAAGGAAGATTTGCATGCATACTACACACACAATTCCTATGTATTTACACATCTAACAGCTAAACTTCAATTTTTACATACACACCACCTTATCTATGCATGAAAAGCTGTATTTCACTTTTTAAAATTTAAAAGGGTGGTATTTTTAATGTGATATGAAAATTTTGAGTGGTATAAATGTACAAAATTGAAGTTTAGGCGTTAGATATGTAAATGCATAGGAATTGGGCGGTATGTATGTAAATGCCCGTTCATTATAATGTCGTTCGAACTAATTTTACTAAGGATATAGCTTCTGACAGGTAGGATATGAAAGTAGATCCTCTTTCTTTTATCCACCATTGTTCCATCAATCTGAAGGTTGCGGGCTCGGCTTCATTGTTAAGAGAGCAAATCTGGCTGCTAGCTTAGCTGGATTGGTTTCTGGGCCAGGCGAAGAGGCTAGTTCTGTTAGAATCACAAAACCGAGGATCTTTGGGCAGGTTTCTTATAAACCATCTGAAGAATCCAGGCTCACAATGTCTGGAATTTGGCAAACCCGCAGGAAGAAGAGGACTGCGCTGAATTCATTTTCTGAAGGATGCTCTTCAGATAGTCCAAGTAAGTTGGAATTTACTGCATCATCATCCATTGCATTAATGCTACAGTCACAGTTTGATGAGTGTAATAATCTTGATTGTTGGGTGGAGATGTGGAAATCTAGTCCCAGTTTGTTGAAGTGGGGTGTTTCTTTTTCCGATGCTCCGCATGATGTACTGGGGTGGGGTTTGAAATTGGGTGGACATATTGAAGGTCACTTAAACCAGCTATGGCTGGAAGGTTTTCTTAATATCAATTTGGGTAGGAAAGCTGTCCTGCAGCCGGGCATTTTATATGTTGTTAATGGAGAATCTAGAACTCCTGCAGTGTTGCTGCGATCGAGTTGGTTCATGTAATTTTTTGTGACTCTTTTCTTTCTAGTTTTGAGCCACCCTCACTCACTCTCTCTCTCTCTCTCTCTCTATATGTATATATATGAGAAATGGCCAGAGGCAATTATACGAGCCTCCAACCACCCCTAATATGCTTAACAATTCGAGTATCACCTCCTTAAGGCCAATTGTGCCAGAGGGAATTCAAACCCCCCACTTGAGGGCTCTTATACCCTGGATGTCAACCAATAAGCCTGGAAACGCGGCACTTATATATATATGAAATCTCTAGCTGTTAGATTATTCCAATATCTTTCATTTGTATGGGACAGTCTGATATGCGTGCATTTTAGTTTGTAATAGATTCATGCTACACTCATATGCATCTATAGTACTTTTACGCTCACTCATCCATAGGCATATTAATAGGAAAAAACAACTAGTTCCAAATAGCCTGACTTCAATTCAATTATATTTATTTTAATTTGAGTGTAATATGTATTTTAATTGATTAGCTTTTTGTTATACTTAAAACTAAATATGATGGTTATAAAGCTCATTTTGATCAAATTCGGGTCGGAATCTCTACTCAAATTCAATCTTCTACATTTATGTCTTTCCTCGTGATTCATGCGAACATATATATGTTATTGTGTAGACTAGCATGTCATTAGCAATTAAAGGATGTGCATATCATAATCACCTTACACATAATATGGATTGACATTTATTAAACATATGCAGTGTTTATTGATCCACATCATTTACAAGTTTTGATCCAAATAACATCATTGTGCTATGTTTCTCATAGGCTTTTTAGTTATAAGAGTTTAGTCCTCTATGCTAGTATTTATGTATCATTCAAATCTTAACATCATTTTCTAAAATACACGTTGGTGGGTGGTGACATTCATAATATAGTTGAGGAATACAAGTAGTTGTTTGGCATCCCCATCTGCCATTCTTTCATTGTAAGCTTTTTCTCAATAGAAGATCGCAATTTGTTAATCTTGTGTTGAGCGAATTTGACTTGAAGGCAAAATAATATCATAATTTGTATGATTTGCTGACCTAAATGACCATATGTTTACATTATGCATTGTTCACAAAGTATAATTCAAGATATCATGTAATGCATGGTGTAATTTTAGTTCTCACTTTTAGCATTCAATTTGGTTCAGTTCAGATTCAAATCATAATCCATTTGAAACCAAACATTCCTTTTTACATGAATGAATTATGATGCATGATTTGTGTAATTTTAATGTATTTACATATCCAACACCCAAATATTCATGTTTACATATATATCATTCAAATCTTTTTTAAAATAAAAGTGAATAATAATTTTTTAATATTAATCAATTGTCTCTATTAAATCGAGGTTCTGATAATTTTATGTAAAATTTTTAAGATGTTTAGAAAAATTTTATTTTTTGGAAAATTATATAGAAAATTTACATACATTCAACCTAATTCTTATGCGCGCATTTTCTGTCTTGACGTATCTCTACGTGCGGTGCAGGTTATTCTTGAGTTAGTTTCAGGTTATTTCTGAGTTATTTTTAATAATCTCGAAATAGCCCAAGAATAACTCGCGCTCTCATAAATAACTCAAAAATAAAGAACGCGGATTATTTCTGAGTTATTTCGAGATTATTGAAAACAATAAAAAAATAACTTGAAAATAACTCAAGAATACCCTGCGCCGCACGTAGATTTACGTCAGGAGGCCGCACATAAAAAATTCTGAATTCTTATGTATTTACATATTTAACACTTAAATTTTCTTTTTTAAGTGTTAAATATGTAAATGCTGCTACAAAGAAAAAATGCTATTACAAAGAAAAAAAAAATATTATTATTTTATGAAAAGTTGGAAAATAAATATTACTTGTTTTTTTTTTAAATTTTTTTAATGTGTTTTAGTTATCTAAACATACTAATATTTTCATCAATCTATATATATATATATATATTCTCTTATCTTTATTGATTTGAATTAATTTAAATTCAACTCTGAAAAATTTTATAGTTGTGATATTATATTTTTAATATTGGGTGAAATTATTTTCCATTCGATTGATTAATTATATATTTATTTTCATAAAACATATTTAAGTTCTTAAATCATATTTAATAATTTTGAAATTGTTGAATCTAATATGTTTGGTAGACTACGCTCAAGGAATAGAGCGTTGGACCGAGAGATGGAACGTGAAAGAGCGAAAAAAGAAGAGAGAAGAGAAACACTTCCCGAGCAGGGGAAAATGGAGTGCTCCTGGGCTCTGTGACTCATTTTATTCTATTAAAGATATGTTACAATTGAGATCCCTCTTCCTCCTCTGGAAGGATCTCTTTTACATCATAAAACTCTCATATTTATAGAAGATATGAGGAGGTAGAAAATATACAAAAATTGTTTATTTAGTCATGTTTTGAAGAGAGAAGCGAAAAACATTTTAGTTATTTTTATTTCGACTATTGGTTCATCTCGAGATCGATGTAAACTTTCAAGTTCATGTTTGTCGGCCGATTGAAGTGAGATAGTAGAATTTGGCTGGTCGATTGAAGTGAGCTGACATACTTATTAAATTACCTCGAGATCGATGCAGTCTATTCTTGAATATACAGAAATTAAAATGACTCACCAAATTCTGACAGAAAAATCTTACAATTTTGTTCCCATGATAGACGGTTCGACCTCATTCAGCATTCTTCTGATCGCCCTAGTGTTCACTCCCTACTTTCATTACCGCCTTAGCCTATTAAGGAACGCCCTTCGCTCCTCGGTGAACCAGAGGTCGACATGGCAGTTGGCCCACATTTATCCGTAATCTTTTTCACATTATTGATGCATCTTCATTTAAAAATCGAAATTTTGAAAAAAAGTCCTCACCTTTCAGGTCCTCTTCGCCTTATCGCTCTCTATAAACCACCCAAAGCTCGCTGAAGCAGAAAAAAACGCTTCTTGGAGCTCCTACTTCTCTCACTAAGCTTTAATGGCTAAACCCATGTCGATCGAAGTATGGAATCCCAGCGGCAAATACAGAGTTGTGAGCACCAAACCCATGCCTGGAACCCGCTGGATCCGTCTCTTGACCGACCAGGATTGTCGCGTCGAGGTAAAACTTCTTCCTTGCCTTAAAAATATCTCTTTTACCTTTCTTCCATTTCTCTCTAGACTTCTTCGTCCTCAGATTTGCACCGAGAAGAAGACCATATTGTCTGTGGAGGATATCCTCGCTCTCATCGGTGACAGATGCGACGGAGTTATCGGCCAGGCAAGTTTATCCAATTCCCAACGCTGGAATTTAAGAATTTCATAGATTTCTGAGTTTTTTTCTTATTGTTTATGTTTGTAACAGCTCACGGAAGATTGGGGGGAAGTGCTATTTTCTGCTCTGCGCAGAGCAGGTGGAACCGCTTTCAGTAACATGGCCGTGGGCTACAACAACGTCGACGTGGATGCGGCGAACAAGTACGGAGTTGCAGTAGGAAATACACCGGTATCGAATCAGAGCTGATGTCAATGAACAGAAGTATTAAAGATGATTTCTTTTTTAGGAATTTGATCTGTTTTTCTGGTTTTTTTTTTTCCAGGGAGTTTTAACTGAGACGACAGCAGAATTGGCCGCCTCACTTTCTCTGGCAGCAGCGCGGAGGATTGTGGAAGCTGATCAGTTCATGAGAGCTGGATTATATGATGGGTGGCTTCCTCATTTGTATGACCCAAAATCTGTTTTTTTTTATAAATGCGAGCTTCTTCTTCCAAAATGTTAACTTTAGTTTTGTAGATTTGTGGGGAATTTGCTTAAAGGACAGACAGTTGGAGTAATAGGAGCTGGTCGTATTGGTTCAGCTTATGCTAGGATGATGGTAATATGTTCTTTTTTGTGTTTTTTTTTTTTTTTTTGGGAAAGGGACGCGGTCTAGGGTGTTTGGAGAAATGCCTGTGTAATGATAATTCTTTATTAAACACGAATATTGGTCTCTATCTTTAACTTCAAATTTTGTCCCCCTAAAAGAAAAGTTAAATAATAAAAAAAACTTTTTTATTAATCTCAAACAACATAGTGTAAATGACATCTTGCATCACTTTTAAATCAATCCATGTTAATTGTTTTGTTTATGGGGCATTTACATACATACCGCCCAATTCTTATGTATTTACATAACTAACACCTACACTTTGATTTTTTACATTTATGCCACCAAAATCTTTCATATTACTTCTAATACACGACTATATTAACTTTTAGAATGTGAAATACACCATTTTATGCATAGGTAAAGTGGCATATATATATATATGTAAAAATTGAAGTTGGGGTGTTAGATATGTAAATACATAAGAATTGAGTGGCATGTATGCAAATCTTCCTTTTTTATATTCAATTTGTGTGAATTGGATGCATTTCGGAGAAAACATTAAGGAAAGACTGCAGAATTATTCAATTTGTGTAAATTAGTTGTCGTTAGGGTCATATCAACACAGTTTACTCAACTGTTTGGCAGATTGAGGGCTTCAAGATGAACCTTATATACTATGATCTTTATCAGGCTACAAGGCTTGAGAATTTTGTTACAGGCATGATCTCATCTCTTTTATTCATTCTTGTGATTTTATTTCCGTATACCTAAATATTCTAAATGACAATAACGGTAACAAGTTTTTATCTCACTAAGTGAGATCGGCTACATGAATTTTTTCCTCCATTGTGTCCTATTGAGTGTCAGATTTTCATTTAATTCTAATAAATTAAGATTATCTTTTGTACAAATGCCCAAGTCTTTTTAGGTCTACCTCTAACTTTCTTAACATGAGTCGAATTTAAAACATCTGCTCTCCTAATGGACCATCAGATGGTCGACGATTAATTTGACCAAGTCATCTAAGACGACCCTCTCTATTCTTGTATGCCACTAGAGTTACACCAACGCTTTCTCGGATACATTCATTTTACATTCTGTCTTTAAGTGTCAAGCCACTCATTCATCTAAGCATTCTCATCTCAATAACACTTAAATAACACTTAACTTAGTCTTAGTTTTATGCTTCTCTTTTATAGCAAAGTATCTAAATATTCTAAATAAAACTTTTTAATGCCTTTTTTTTGTTTCTTTAGCTTATGGGCATTTTCTGAAAGCCAATGGAGAGCAGCCTGTTACTTGGAAAAGAGCTGCTACAATGGAGGATGTACTGAGAGAGGCTGATGTGGTGAGATTGCTTTTGCATCTTTAGTAGTTATTTTCAATTAGGAACTCAGTTCGTGTGTATTTATGTATCTGACACCTAAACTTTAACTGTTACATACATTTCACCTTACCTATGCATGAAAATGTGTATTTTATTTTAAAAAAAAGTTGAAATGATGGTATTTTTGAGGTGACATAAAAGAGTTGAGCCTTATAATGTAAAGAAGTAAAATTTACGTGTCAGATACATAAGAATTGGTTGGTATGTATGTAAATGCTCCTTTCTATTATTATTCTTCAAAGCTTAAGCTTTCTCTTAGCCATTGCATTTAAGCTGAACCCGATTCAATCAAAAATTTGCACGAGGACATATTTATTTTATACTTTTTCTATTTAATTTTATAGAAATTTTTATGAAAAATTAAACCTTTTGGATGTTTTTTGCAGATAAGTCTTCACCCAGTACTGGATAAAACGACTTATCATCTGATCAACAAAGAGACACTTTCAATCATGAAAAAGGTATAGCTTATCTTTGCTAACTATGTCTAGGGGTATAAACTAGCTGAATCGAGGTCGAGTTTGACTTGAGGTTTTTTTTTTATTAATAAATTGAGCTTGAGGCTTAATTCTGTGATTTCAAGCTAGCTCATGAGCCGGCTTGTTTGTTATGAAAAAGAAAATTAATATTACTTCAAGCTAGTGTTATAATAAATTGACAAATAAAATCAATAATTAAGTGATAACTAACAAGAAATCGCTTGATATAAAATATAAAATATCATTTTTTTTTTTACATTTGAAATGATTTAAAGATGAAATCTTGAATTTTAATATATTTTGGGTATATTTATATTAATTATATTTTAAATGAGCTGTCTCATTAGCTAATGAATCGAGTCGGGGTTGGCTTGTGCTCGATTTGTTAGCTCATCGAGCTCTGCACATGAGCCACTAGTCGAGCCAAGTTTAAGCCAGCTCATGAGTAAACTTGGCTAAGTTACAACCCTAGTTGTGTCAACCATATCCTTTATTGTCAATAATCAAAGGTCCTAAAGAACTAAAGTGGCTTTTAATCACAGGAAGCCGTCCTTGTTAACGCGAGTAGAGGGCCGGTGATTGATGAATCTGCACTGGTAGAACATCTAAAAGCAAATCCAATGTTCCGTGTCGGCCTTGATGTGTTTGAGGTTCTTTTTACTTTTTCTCGATGCTCTATCATAAATTTTGTATTGCGAAATGACATTGATAAATAATTACTGGATTGTTATTTTACAGGACGAACCTTTCATGAAGCCAGGGCTTGCTGAGATGAAAAATGCTGTAGTTGTGCCTCACATTGCATCTGCTTCCAAGGTTTATTTAGGAAAATAAAGACATCATCATTTTCTTGATCATCATTTGCTTTATCCCAACAAGATGGAGTAGATTTTATGAATCATCATTTTTTTCATTTGTTTTTGTACCTTTAACTAACAACTTCTATCTCTACTATTTTTTTCATTTCTAATTTTCTAGTATTAATTATATCTAATTCTTTAGTAATGTATTTCTCCATATTGTTTTCAGTGGACACGTGAAGGAATGGCCTCTCTTGCTGCTCTAAATGTTTTGGTATGTTTATTTATCATGAATTAATGATTAACTTATTTTATATATATATATATATATATATATATATATATAGCATTTTGGTCCTATGCATGAAAATATGCATTTTACTTTTAAAAGTGATAATAATGCTATTTTTTAATGTGATATTAAACATTTGTGTGCCATGTGTGTAAATATGAATGTTTAAGTGTGAGATATTTAAATACATAAGAATTGTGTGCTATGCATGTAAATGCTTCATATCATTTATGTAAGTTATTTTATATATATATA